AAGAGAGGTGATTCAATGGAATGCGGAAATCATCAGATAATATCACTGATATCCCATGTGAGTAAAGTTTTACTAAAGATAATGCAAAAATGGCTGCAACCATAAATTGTCAGAAAACTTCCAGAGGTTCAAGCCAGATTCAGAAGAGGACATGGAATGAGGGATATCACTGCTGACATCAGATGAATCTTGGCTGAAAGCAGAGAATACTGGAGAGATGTTTACCTCTGCTTTATTGACTATGCAAAGGCTTTCGATTGTGTGGATCATGACAAACTATGGACAACATTACGAAGAATGAGTATTCTGGAACACTTAATTGTGCTCATGAGGAATCTGTACCTGGACCAAGAGGCAGTTGTTCGAAAAGAACAAAGGAGCACTGAATGGTTTATAATAAGGAAAGGTGTGCTCTAGGGTTGTATTTTTTCCACCATACTTATTCAATGTGTATTCTGAGCAAATAATCTGAGAAGCTGGATTATATGAAGAAGAATGTGGCATCAGGATTGGAGGAAGACGCACTAACAACTTACAATATGCAGATGATACAATCTTGCTTGCTGAAAGCAAAGAGGACTTAAAATATTTATTGCTGAAAATCAAAGATTACAGCACCTCAATATAAAGAAAACAAAACCCCTCACCATTGAATCAGTAAACAACATCCATATAAACGGAGAAAAGTTTGAAGTTGTCAAAGATTTCATTTTGCTTGAATCCACCAAAACTACTCATGAAAGCTGCAGTCAAGAAGTCAAATGATGTATTGCATTAGGCAAATATACTGCACAAGAGCTCTTTAGCATGTTCAAGAGCAAAAACGTCAGTTCGAGGACTAAGGTGTGCCTTACCTAAGCCATGGTATTTTCAATAGCCAGAGATGCATGTGAAAGTTGGACAGTGAATAAGGAAAACTGTAGAAAAACTGATACATTTGAGTTATGGTGTTGGAGAAGAATATTAATTTTGACTGCCAAAGAACAAACCTATCTGTGTTGGAAGAAGTACAGCCAGAATACTCCTTGAAACCCAGGATGGCCAGACTTTGCTTCTCATACTTCAGACATATTTTCCAGAGGGATCAGTTCCTGGAGAACAATATTGTTTGTTAAAGTGGAGGAAAGAGGAAGACCCCCAATGGTATGTCATTGCGCCAGCAGCAATGGACATAGCAATGATTGTGAGGTTGGCACAGGACCAGGCAGTGTTTCGTTTTGTTGTTCATAGGGTTACTATGAGTCAGTGCCAACTCAATGGCACGTAACAACAACAACAACAACAACACACTTGTGTTTGTCTTCCCGGTGTGGTCCTGTAGGATAAGCACTGTACTCCTGTAGGATAATCAATGGTCCAAACCCATCGGCTGCTTCTCAGAAATCCTATGCAGAGCAGCTATGAGTTGGACTGGCCATGAGGGTGCTTAACAACAAAAACATACTTGTATCTATCCTGGGGATCTGATGGCTCAGTGGCAAGACTTCTACCTTCCATGTGGGAGACCCAGGTTCAATTCCTGGCCAAGGCACCTCATGCACAGCCAGCACCCATCTGTCAGTGGAAGCTTGTGTGCTGCTATGATGCTGAATAGGTTTCAGCAGAGCTTCCAGACTAAGATGGGCTAGGAAGAAAGGCCTGGCTCTGAAATCTATCAGTGCAAATCTTACGGATCACATGGTCTGATCCCATTGTGCACACAACACACCAATCCCAGACTAGGGGGGTCAAGGGAGGTTTCTCAGGAGAGGGTCCTTTTAATTACCCTGGGATTTTAGGACATCAGTTGTGTGAGTAATTGGGGCCTATGGGAGGCCTGGACCACAGCCATTTTCGGAGAGGAACAGGGGAGTGGGGAGGCAAGCATGGACAGAAGGTGAAGGGCACTCCAGAGGCATGTCGTCATCCTCAGCACTGAAGCCAGACTCAAATCCTGATCACATCCCTCTCCTGTTTGGATGGACTAGGGCTTCCACCCGCCTCCAGCACTCTCCCCCTACACGATCTCCCAGGACTCTTCGAATTGCTCCTCAGCATCCTATCTCTCTTACTCCTCACTAATGGTATCTGCCCTGCCTACCCTGCCCTCCTTTCATCTCACCTGGTAGGTTCCACCTCGAGCCTCTGTCTAATATCACCTCCTCCCTGCAGCCTTCCCTGACTGCAGGCAGAGGGACTGTCTGTGCCCCACAGCCCTTGCCTCCTCAGCCCCCACCTCGAAGGCTTTAAGGTCTCCCTATGCAGACACAGCTCTGTCTTCATCAGCTCCTGGCCTTGCTACTGACATTACCACCACTTGTCTGTCAGTTTGTCACACTGTGGTGGTTTGCGAGTTGCTGTGATTCTGAAAGCTATGCCACCAGTATTTTAAACACCAGCAGGGTCATTCATGGTGGACAGTTTTCAGATGAGCTTCCAGACAAAGACAGACTAGGAAGAAGGAGTGACAAACTACTTCTGAACAATTTAGTCACTGAAAACCTTATGAATAGCAGAGAAACACTGTCAGATATAGTGCTGGAAAATGAGCCCCTCAGGTTGGAAGGCACTCAAAATGTGACTGGGAAAGGGCTGTCTCCTCAAAGTAGAGTTGACCGTGATGACGCGAATGGAGTAAAGCCTTCATTTGCTGATGGGGCACAACTCAAAATGAAGAGAAACAGCTGTAAACATCCATTGAAAATTGGAACATGGAATGTACAAAGTATGAATCTGGGAAAATTAGAAGTTGTCAAAAATGAAATGGAACTCATAAACACCGATATCTTAGGCATTGGTGGTGGTGGTGGTGGTTATGTGCTGTGGAGTCAGTTCTGACTCAGCAACCCTGTACAGTTTCCAAGGCTGTAAATCTTTACGGGAGCAGAAAGCCTCATCTTTCTCCCACACAATGGCTGGTAGTTTTGAACTGCCGACCTTGAGGTTAGTAGCCTGATTCGTAACCACTATGCTACCAGAGCTCCTTTCACACCAGGACTATGAGATAGTAAATGCTGTGGGTAACATTGTGGAGCACACACATGCAGCCATCTAAGGTGCAACTATTGGTCTGTCCCTGTGAGGAGGAAAGAAGAAAAATAAAAATAGAAGCCTCTTGGAAACAGTTAGTCTAATAAACTAATGGAATACATGAATTTCAGTCTCCATGACACTGAGACCAGAAGAACTAGATGGTGCCCGGCTACTACCACCAATTGCTTTGAAATGGATGACATTAGAAGGTTCTGGGTAGTACAAGAGAAAATGTGGGACATAACTCCAAAAAAAAAAGAGACCAAGTTCATTGGTTATAAAGAGAAAGACTGGAAGAATCCTGAGAATGTGGCCCTTGGTCACTCTTCAGGTCTGGAACTGATTTTCCCCTTGTGGCTCAATTTTTAGGCAAGCAGTATACAGTAATAAGGGACAACAATACTAGTGCGGCATACACACCATAGAATGGCCAACCATTAGAGATCAAAAGGGCAGCGTTTAGCTAAAGATAAAATCCATAAGGGTTGGGAAAGAAGGAGGACTGGAAAGAAGAATCCCAGGGAGGAAATGGGCTCAGCTCAGGGATGTTACACTGAGAGGACTGCAATCATTGAGATGAAGTATATGGTTTGTTGAATGTAAAACTGATGCTCTTCTCTGTAAACCTTCATAATACAAAGCTGAAAACAGTAAAATAAAAAACCAACCAAACAAAAATGTAGAGCATGATTAAAGCAATGCAGAGTGTGGACATGGGGGTAGTTGGGTCCAACATCACTGAGACGATGATATTTGAGATGAGTCTCCAAGGATGTAAGGGAAGGAGTCATGGTGGGGAGATAGCATTCCCAACACGGGAAGCAGCCAGTGCAAAGGCAGAAGCATGTCAGGCAGGCTCATGGAGCAGCAAGGTGGCTGGAGCGACATGTATGAGGGGACAAGCAGAAGTAGATGAAGTTGGGGGACTGTAGTGGATCATAGGGGCCATACAGGCCATCCTAGGAGCTCTGGCTTTTACTGAACGAAATGGGGAGCCAACACAGTGATCAAAGCTGAGAACTGGTGTATTCTGGAAAATTCAACAACTTCATGAATGAACATAATGACAGCGAGAAACAGGGGGTCCAGAGGAGCCAGGAGGATACAGGGGATAAGGGAAGACTATCCCAGAGGAGGTTTTTGACTCTGACATTTGACCACAGCCAAGCAAGAGGAATCCATGGGGTGGGAGGAACCTGAACACGTTATGAAGTCTGCAAGAACAAACTGCATTAGAGGAGGAACTAAAAGTTTCACAGGTCAGCAGAACTGGATCTGTGGGTAGGGGACCTGTATGACAAGGTCAGCAAAAGGAAGACCATATTCCTACAGAAGCATCTTAGAATTTACCCTGAGGTAATGGTGGGGATGGGGGTGGCAAGACATACAGCTCCTCAGAGTCCAACTCACTGTCTCACTAGTCTAGTGCTAATCTTGCCTTGAGGACCTGACGAATCAGGGTAGAATGCCCTGGACTGGACTCATGCCCAAGTTCCAAGCACTGTGGACTTTTCCTTTGCTGGGCTTCAGTTTGCTCAAATGTTGAGCTGAACCTCTCAGGGACTACCTTATTTTGACAGGCTAAGCCTCCAGGATCCTAGGCCGCAGAGTCACACCAACCCAGCTCAACTTGCTGCTCCAACAAGGATAAAGTATGTGGCCTTGGATAAAATCTCTTCCCCTCTCTGCTGTTGTTGTTGTTAAGTGCTGTCGAGTCGGTTCGGACCCATAGCGACCCTGTACAGGGTTTCGGAGGGTGTAAATCTTTACGGGAGTAGAGAGCCTCATCTTTTTCCCGCGGAGCAGCTAGTAGTTTCGAACCGCTGACCTTAAGGTTCGCAGCCCAATTCATAACCACTACACTACCAGAGCTCCTTTCCCCTCTCTGCAGTATCTAATATATGCCAGGCGGGTTCGTATGGGCCTGGTTTGAGGCTTTTGGAGCTGGTGACCTAGATGCTGCATGAGCCAGAAGAGGGAAGTCTCACCTGGGATGTGTCGTGGTTGAAGATGACGGCATTGAGGTCCCCACAGTTGTAGTGCTTGATGAGGTCCTCAGTGGTGTAGGGTGCCTGCAGGCTCCCAGCTCGAACACTCTCATGCTGCAACAGTGTCTGGTTCAGGGCAAACAGTACCTGGGCAGAGGAAGGAGAGAGGGGTAAGGACTGTGTTTGGGGCCCTGAATAGACTTCAGGCAACAGGCCCTGAAACAGAGAAGGTGTGTGGGTCTGACCCAAGCTGGCTCAGCCTGAGCAGGTTTACACTTCCCGCTCCTCACTCATTGCTCTCTGAGCACGTTAGCCCCTTTCTCATCTCCAGCCCTTTGTCCACACTGACCTGCTCCTGTTCTGAGACTCACCTCTTATCTGTGTGGCAAAATCAGAGACCTGGTTGTGCTTGGGTTTTGAAATGATAGGTGAGAATTTCTTTGAACTACCCCAACACCACCATGCTTAAGATAGATTCTGGAATGAGCATAGATGCGTTTCGCCAGGAAGAGCAACCCCAAACAAAGCCAAGGAAACGGACAGACGAGAAAAAAACAAAATTTCATTTAGATGTTCTAAGCCCAAATGAAATGCCACTTTGTCCAGAATCCTTCCTCAAGCTAGGACAAAGCATGTAAAGTCTGAGTCACCATGTGCTTTCCCAAGTTCCTCTGTGCTCTGGGACACAGTGCAGGACTCTGGAGACATAGCGGGGCCCCAGCCAAACCTGTCAGGCACTAGAATCACCTGGAGAGGTGTGAAAACACTGGATACCCAGATCCCACCTTCCAGAGTTGGAATCTCTCAGATGGGGCTTGAAATTTTAAGCTCCTTCAGAAAGTCTTAATATTTGTTTAAAATGATTTATTGATTTTGTTGTTGTTGAAAATATACACAGCAAAATGTATACAAAATTCAACAATTTATAACAGCCCAACCACCTCCGGCATTTGAGGACTACAGCCTAATGGAATCTGGCCTGCTCAAGGTCTGAGGACCTGAGAGATCATTTAGTCCAGGGGTCCTCATTTCAGATGGGTAAACTGACACCCAGTGAGGGAGGCGGACCTTGAACAGCACCTTGAAGCTGGGGTTGGTGTTTAGCCATGTGTGACTGAATTTCCCAGACACCTTTGGCCAAGAGAAGGGAGGAGGCTGACTCTTACTTGAGTCTTTAGTACAGACACAGAGGAAGATGACTTGCAATCTCTCTGCAAAATGCCAGGAGGCAGTCTCAGGCCACCTTCTGTCAGCTCTCCGGCAGGCCCTGCTCATTCTATCTGCACAGTGCTTTGGGTGACTGTCCCCACCCTCTTGGTCCACATCAATTCGGGTCCTCGCATCTTTTGCTGAGTCCACTTTACCGTAGTCTCCCACCCACCTCCCTTCAGGCCCCCAGCCCTTGCATCTATCCCATTTTCTTCTGCAGAAGCACCAATCTGATAATTTCTCTTTTTTTTCTTAAAACTTTCACAGGGTCCTCCTGCATTCTGGATAGAGTCCTAGCTCTTCAATAAAGCCTCCAAGTCAGTGACCTGGACCCTGCTTTGGTCTCTAACCTTGTTTCTTACACTTCCTCCACACCTCCAAATACAAAACTATTCAGTGGTCTTCAATCTTCTGTTTCTGAGCCTCTGTGCATTTTGTTCTCTATGCATGGAAAAACCTACCCCTCCATTCTAAAATGCAAATTCAGTCTTGGCCACCCCTGCTCTGCACAAATGACATCTTGGCCATGAAACTTCTCTGACCACCTTAGGGTGGGCTAGGCCCCTTCCTATGGTCTCTGTGTGTGGTCGAATGATTACACTGATGGCCTCAGGCCTTAACCCCTCTTTGTCTTCATGCTCTCCACCATAGAACTTTGCAGCCTTCTCCCAACTTTGACTCTAGGCCTTCAGCCATGTGACTGACTTTGGCCAGTGTGATATTACTAAGCATCACAGAGGTTATGAAAAGTACAGGTGTTCTACTTCTGCCTCTGGCTTCTCTAACATTATTTTAGGTCCAGACTGATGAAGGAGGAGAGACCTATAGAGCAGAGCCAAATGGTTCCAGCTGTCCCAGCCAAGGTCATCCTAGATCAGCCAACCACCAGCCAATTCCAAAATATCTGAGTGAATCCAATTGAGATCAGCAGACACAGCAGTCTACACACAACTAATCCCAGATTCATGAGAAATAAACATGCATCTGGGGTTAATTGTGTTGTTGTTACACAGCCTAACTGTGCAATGTTGTTGTTAAGTGCTATCGAGTCAGTTTCGACTCATAGTGGACCTGTATAGGGTTTCAAAGGAGTGCCTGGTGAGTTTGAACCACTGACTTTGCAGTTCAAACTGACCTGATGGTTACGTGCTAATCCTACAGCACCACACCAGGACTCCAACTGTGCAGTAGACTGATGGGTGATAGACCATGCTTCCCTCCATTATATTGAACTTGTGTGTCCATTGCACAAATTCTTGAAGGCAGAAATTGCATCATACTCATTTTTGTATCTTCAGCACTCAGCACCATGGTTGGTACAGACAGTTAATGTTACGCTGCCCTTTCTTTAGCACTTTGACATTTGCTGTAGTCACTTCATACTAGTCAAGCCCTTAAGGCGAGTTACTAGAACTTTGGCACTCTGTCTGCATTTGGGGCATGCTACCAGCACTTGGCAGAAATGAACACCAATGAGAAGCAGCTGCTTGGTTCAGGAATACGTACTTTGAACAGAAAAGTTCACAGAACAAGTACATACAATGTTGTTGCTCATTGCCATTGACTCAGCTCTTCCAGAGACTTATGCATAATGGAATAAAAGGATGCCTGCTCCTGTCCCATTTCCATGATCACTAGCATGTTTGAGTTCATTGTTGTTGCAATTGTGCTAATCCGTCTCTGTAAGGGTTTCCTTCATTTCTGCTGGCTCTCTAACACAATGTCTTTTTCTAATAATTGGTCTTTTCTGATGACATGGCCAAAGTAAGTGAGTTGAAGTCTCACCATCTGGTTGTTCTTCTAATATGGATTTGTTTGTTCTTCTGGCAGTCTAAGGTATATTCAATACTCAATTGTGAAATACAGTCCAGTGCATATAGTCTGGCCAAAACACGGACAAGGGCAATGGGGACAAGCCTGAAGCCCAGAGATCAGTTACACCCACATCCTCCTGTTTTAGTTTCTGGCTGGGTAGTAGAACTGGAGTACGTTAGGACACAGCCCTTGTTTGAGCAACTCCCTCAAATGAGCTGGCTGGGATAAGGTCAGATACCAGGGTCCCACTTTTGGGCCTTTGCCAGGCCTCTTAGCTCTGCAGAACCCATCTGCAGCCACCTGGTGCAGGGTATCAATGGTGGCTGGGAAGGTTCACAGGAGGCATGAGTGGCCCCGTTGTGTAGACATTGCTAAGGCAACAAGCACATCCTTACGCACGGCACATGCCTTAGATTAAAACAACCATGTCAAGCTGGACTGCACTCCTCCTCTGCGGGGCTGGGACACTCTAATGTCCTGTGACACACCTTGGCCCTGCACACACCTGCTTGCTGCTTCCGGAGTCAGCTTGGCCAAGGCACCACCTGACCTGTGGTGACATCATTGGCCCAGGCACCCAGAAGAGCTGGCTGAAAGAGAAATGGCTCCCCTGACATTGGTTGATTTCTGGAGTCACTTCCGCCGACACGTGGTGCTCATGGAGCTGCGAGGTGGTCTGACGATCTGAATATATTTGTATCTGCAGGGTGCTAACAGTCCCTGGACTGTATTAAGTATTGGATAAGTGTTTGTTAAATAAAACTAGAGGACAAGAATTAGATTCAGACTTTCCCAGATGGGAGCTGGAAGGGTCCCCAGAGGTCATCTGGTCCAGTGGCTTTTCAAACCTTTTTTATCCATGGATTCCTTTTTGTCATTGTTGTGTTCTGAAGGAACCTTACTTGGAATTAAAATGTGGAGTAGACAAAAATGGAAACTCGTCTGACTGATGTGAAGGAGGCAGGCTGGGTCCTGAAGCCCAGCTGGCTCAATGTCCTCTGGAAGCAAAGTCTCCCAAGGTTTCCTTGGGGAACCAAAGGGTGTCCTGAAGGCCAGTTTGGGAACCAGTGATCTTATTCTATGTTCTCATCACACAGAGGAAGAGAGGAGACCAAGGCCCATAAGGGGCAGATGGGGCTCTCAAGGTTGTACAGTGACCTATGGGCAGAGCAGGCTCAAACCCAAGTTTCCTGACACCCAGCTTAGCACCCTCTACACTGCCCTGCAGTCCACATCTGGGCTTGATTTCTGACAGCTTCCAGCAGATGTCCACTGGCATAGTCCACATTAATCCTGCACACATTGCCACATCATTTTCTTTCTGGATCCTTGAGAAATAATAGCTGGAGAGCAATCGCAGGGAACAATTATTAGCATGTTAGACAACTGAGGCCCTGATCATTTAAACCTTGATGATCATTACACTGTGGTGGGGCTAGACAGAAACCCAGGCCTGTCACTGGGGATCCCCAGATAGAAGCTGGATTTGGTGTCACTTACAGACTCTAGGCTTTCCTAGATTTCAGAACTTGCCCCCTGTCACGGTTCAAATTGTGCTCGCTCCCCCACAACGAATGTGTCATCTTGGCTAAGCCATGAGTCCCAGTATTGTGATTATCCTCCATATTGCGAGGTGCTGTAAACCTTAACTTTCCATTAACTGTTGTTAATGAGACAGGATTAGAGGCAGGATACAATCTACAGGATTAGGTTTTATCTTAAGTCAATATATATATATTTAAAACTTTTATGGTGTGTTGCGGACCGTGTAAGACTGGTCAGAGGTTCAAGGCCCTATAGGCCCGAGTGTAACAAATGAAGCCACTTGGCAGTTAATAGCAAATTGTTTTTCATCAAATTGTTTAG